ACTGAAAATTGAAAATTTCCCCCATAGATCTTTTTAAACCAACTATAACATAACTACTAAAGACAGATTGAATTCCCTATTTATTTTTTAGTTAGGCATTTCTATAGTTGTCTTCGCATATTTTTCTATTTATTTAGCTATGTAAAAATATTTACAAAAAATAGTACCTTTCCTCTTGGTGCTTCTGCCAAAAATATGGCCAGCAGTTGCTTCTGACCTCCAAGCCAAAAACTAACCACAGCAAAACCAATACCAAACAATCCAATAAACCCTTGCAAGCATGCTCTTTTTGTGCCTCTCCTGTCATCCAAAAATGTGCTATTTTGTTTGTACATTATTCAATACCAAATTGATCAATCCAAGGTTCTCAGACCCAAAGGGTTATGAACAGGCCTCAGGGTTATGCAATCACTCTGCCTGTCTCATATTGATAGATGGGGTATTCTGTTATAGAAAATGTTGAGAACTTCTGATATGCCATATCTTAATTTTAAGTTCCTCTGCTCTCATGCCATTGGAAATCTTACTGGCTTCAATAGCATGGTATGCCTGGATGCTAATCCTGGTCTAGGTTCTGAATCTCGTTTCTTTTAAGGCAATGCAAATTTCCTTACTGGTTTCAATTAAAGATGAATCTTCAGTTGCCAAAATATGTATTACCACAAATCTACCTGTTCTTTTCACAGACACTTTTCTGAGCTATGTATATGACTATAACTCTGTTCAGCAAGAAGGACAGCCTTTTGCAAAGCTTCCTTGTGCAGTACTTGTCCTATTTCAGGCTAGAACCAAAGAATTCAGGGATTTGTGGTTGCCAGAGTTGATGGGATTTTGGGTTTTTGAGGAAAGGTATTCTGGGAAGGGAGAAAGTCCATCTGAAGGGTGAGACCCTGGGTAGGCAATAGAAGCTTCAGACAGTTTTCCAAGTTATTGGAAAACTGGTGATATTTTAATATTTTAATGGGACAAGAAGTTGCGGAGAGTAGTGAGGGAAAGGTAAGAAACTAGAATGAGTTCTATACAAATTATGTAGTTACACTGCTAAATTAATTTAATCTTTTTAAGGGGTCCATTTATGATGGTGGATCACTATACAGGCAGTCTCTGAGTTACGCGGATCCGACTTATGTCGGATCCGCACTTACGAACGGGGCTTTTCTCGCCCCGGAACTCCCGGGCGGTGGGACCACCCAGATGCGCAGTGGTCCCACCACCACATCCTCTGGGGCGAGAAAAGCTGCTCTGGGTGTCCCTGGTCTGCTGGGGGAGTCCCCAGCAGACCAGGGACACCCCGAGCAAAGCCACAGAGGCGGCGGGGTCCCGCGTCTCCGGAGCTGAGAAAGAAAGGCGGAAACAAACTGAAAAGTGTTAAGTAAAACAATGAACTAAAGCAAAGTTTTTATGACTTTGATTTAAAAATCCCCCCTCCTCTTTTTATCATCCCCAAAATATTTCCTCTGCAAAAACATCATGAATTATTTATTGCTTACTTTTCTGATGATCAGTGAAATAGAGCAGATGAGGAAAAGAAGTCTTTTGCCAACTCAAATAGTTGATTGATATTTTGATAAACTGTACAGTAGGCTTCATCTTTTAGTATTACTTTTCTCCATAGTAAAGAAGACATTTTCAGAAAATCTCTTTATGCCTTTTTCATTTTTATCAAAAGCATTATTCAATTTATTGGAGTTGCACAAATCCTAGTCTGCTGGATTTACACTCAGTTTTGACCCCATTGGCAAATGCACCATTGCACTTCATTGGGGGCAGAATTTATTTCAGCAACTTCATTCTTGGGAATTGCAAGATCATGCAAGTTTTAACAACTGAAAATGTGCATAGAGTAAAGTAACATAATGTATTTATTCTAAATGGGTTTGATATAAGCCTCTGAAATATCATTACAGTTAACTCAGCTGAAACCTTCATATTGGTATTTATAAACCACAACCTCAATTTATAGTTATTCCACATAACATTAAACATCAGGGCTGCGTCTAGACTGGCAAGTTTTTCCACAAAAGCAGCTGCTTTTGCGGAGAAACTTGCCAGCTGTCTACACTGGCCGCTTGAATTTGCGCAATAACACTGACGATCTAATATAAGATTGTCAGTGTTCTTCCGCAAATACTATGCTGCTCCTGTTCGGGCAAAAGCCCTTTTCCAGAAATACTTTTGCGCAAAAGGGCCAGTGTATACAGCTGAAAACTGTTTTGCGCAAAAAAGCCCCGATGGCAAAAATGGCGATTGGGGCTTTCTTGCGCAAAACCGCGTTTAGATTGGCACGGACGCTTTTCTGCAAAAAGTGCTTTTGAGGAAAAGCGTCCATGCCAATCTAGATGCTCTTTTCCGCAAATGCTTTTAATGGAAAAACTTTTCCGTTAAAAGCATTGGCAGAAAATCATGCCAGCCTAGACGTAGCCCAGTTGACTATCCACACAACAAATCAATTTCAGAATTAAAAATCAAATTCAGACTAGCATTCCAGCCTTGGTTTTCAATCAGAAAAATGCAATGGAGTAAATTACAACACAAATGATAGCTGTAGCTCTGAATTTTCTTGCTACTACAGGGTACTATAAAATAAGAAAAATAAAAGTACCTACTCTGAGACAGAGTTTAAGATCATAGGGTATGTCTACACTATAGCACTAATTTGAACTAACTTACTTTGAATTAGTTAATTCGAACTAGTGCATCTAGACCTAAAAACTAATTCAAATTAGCGTTTTGCTAATTCGAACTTACATGTCCACATTGAGTGGCCCCTGAACCGAAGTTAAGGCTGGCTGGAACAGGTGCCAGCAGGCATCAGGTTAGGACTTAGAGCGTGGAGCTGCTGCCTCAGGCTAGCAGAGGGCTGTGCTTAAAGGGACCCGACCTTCACCCCAGACAGACAGTTCTCAGGGTTCCCCGCTTGCTTGTCTACCTCGATGAGGGACAGCAAAGCAGTCCTGTCTTGGAGTGCCCTGAGTGTTCGCACTCGGCCATCCGTCCGGCTGCACTTGGCCATCCGTCCGGCTGCACTTGCCACAGGCTGCCATCCGGGGGAGTCAATCGGGGGGCTGTTAGGATCCAGGAGTCCCTGTAGGAGAGCATCCACCCCAAGGAGCCCGCAGAGCCACCCCAGTCCTCCCCATAGGGGGCTCGTACCCCATTCCTCCCTCACCTCCATCCACTTACCCCTCCCTAGCCCTCCCTTCCTGATGTAAAAAATAAAGGACACGTGTTCAAAAACAGAAACTCTCTTTATTTAACAAAACTGGGGCGGAGGGGGGGGAGGGCACATTAACCTCTGGGGAGACTGGGAAAAGGAGGTGGGAGAGGGTGGGAGAGGGGAGGGGGAAACCTGGGAGGAGGGGAAGTATAAAATTATGGTACGCCATATCTTCAGTACTGTGTACAGATGTGGTCTCCTTACCTCAAAACAGATGTTTTGGCCATGGAAAGGGTTCAGAAAAGGGCAACTAAAATGATTAGGGGTTTGGAACAGGTCCCATATGAAGAGAGGCTAAAGAGACTGGGACTTTTCAGCTTAGAAAAGAGGAGACTGAGGGGGGATATGATAGAGGTCTATAAAATCATGAGTGGTGTGGAGAGGGTACAAAAAGAAAAGTTCTTCATTAGTTCCCATAATAGAAGGACTAGAGGACACCATATAAAATGAATTGGTAGCAGGCTTCAAACTAATAAAAGAAAGTTCTTCTTCACAAAGCACATAGTCAACCTGTGGTACTCCTTGCCATAGGAGGCTGTGAAGGCTAGAACTATAACAGAGTTTAAAGAGAAGTTAGATAAATTCATGGAGGTCGGGTCCATGGAGTGATATTATCCACGCGATAGGAACGGTGTCCCTGGCCTCTGTTTGTGGAAGGCTGGAGATGGCTGGCACAAGACAAATGGCTTTGTCATTGTCTTCGGGCCCTCCCTTCCGGGGTATTTTGTGTTGGCCGCTGTCAGCAGACAGGCTACTGGGCTAGATGGACCTTTGGTCTGACTCAGTACGGCCGTTCTTATGTTTTAAGCTCAGGGTCGGGGGTCTCACCTTGATTTTCATGCAAACCTGCTCCTGGGTTTGCATGTGGCCTTTGGTGACCAGGCTGGCAGCTCTCCTGCCCTAGGGCCCGGGCCACGCCCCGGGGAGCCGCCAGCCTGGTCCCTGGAAGAGGGGGTGGGCTGGGGGACATCGGGTGGGTGGCTCTGTGCCGTGCCAGGTGCAGGGTCTGTTAGCTGGGTGCTGGCAGGCTTGCACCTGGCACAAGCACCGTAGCCAGACCGTGCCCCTTTAAGGGCTCCGGGGCCGGGAGGGGGGCAGAAGAGTTTCCCTGGTTTGGCCCAGACTGGCCACCAGGGCAAGCTGGGAAGGGCTAGCCTCCCACTACATAGCCCTTGATTCGAACTACTTAATTCGAACTAGGCGTTAGTCCTCGTAGAATGAGGTTTACATAGTTCTAATTAAGTGCTCCGCTAGTTCGAATTAAGTTCGAACTAGCGGTTTGCATGTGTAGCGCCTATGGAAGTTAATTCGAACTAACGGCTGTTAGTTCGAATTAACTTTGTAGTGTAGACATACCCATAGTATCTGCTGAAACAGGTTACTTAAGAACCAAGAAATTAAACATTTGAACAGAAAAGACACTATGGATTGATGTGTTCCCATCCCTGATTTAAATAGTATTCCTAATAAAAAATACATTTTAAATCATACTTCTACTTTCAGATTTATGTTAATCAGACACTTAATTTTCCTCTATTATTTGACATTAGTAGGATGCATCCACTCATTTTAAGACTGATTATGTAGAGAGGAGCCTTCTATAAATACAGAGCATTCAGTGGTGTGTTAGATTGGACATATTTCACCAACATGTTCTAAGTTATCAATGTATGTAATAGAATATGCATGCACATGCTACATAATCATTAAAGGACACAGTGTGGTTAAAATGAGTCAAAAGGAGAAGAGAATGCAAGTTAATGTAACCATTTATTCATGCCAGATAACTGTTCACTGTTGTCCAAGTACGTGCATCTGAAAATTATCCATAAGCAGAAGTGTAACCCTGCAATTTTGGAACTGAGTAATGCTAGAAATAGGACCTGCCATAACGAAAATTGGGACTATTTGGCCAGGAATACAGGTAAGGACATGCATATAATTATTTTCCTGATACAAATATAGGAATTTATATCTTTTAATAACCTGAATTATTAGCTTTTACTGAATTTAGCAAACTCTGTCATCAGATTTTGAGAAAAGATCCATGACCAAAAAACAACTGGGGCCAAATTCATTAGTAAGTAGGAGCAATGTAATTGACTTTCTGATTGTACCAACATGGTGTACTATGTTCATTTCCCACTTGACCCATATGTGTAACTTCAGTGAATTCTAATGTTAGATATGCTTTCATGTCTAGTACAGCTGGAAAAATAATTTGCAATGAATAATTCATTTGATGACCTTAGCATCTCTGGCTATGTCTACACAATTAAAAAGCCACGGCTGGGCTGTGCCAGCTGACGTGGGTTTACAGGGATCAGACAAAGGGACTCATTACCTACAGTGTGACTTTCAGACTTGGGCTGGAACTGAAACTCCAGGATCCTGTAAAGGTGGAGGGATCCTAGAGCTCAGGCTGCAGCTGGATCCTGAATGTCTATGCCTCAATTGAATCAAACCCCTTAGCCTGAGCCCCTGAATCTGAGAGCTAGCCCAGGCCAGCTGTGGATGTCTAATTGCAGTGTCAACATACGGTGTTTCTGCCCCTGGGACAGCTGCAGGCAGACCCTGCGTTCTGATTTCTTATTCATTATTTGGAATGTATTTGATTCATTTATGTATTTATTCTGTAGATTAACTCTAAATATGTCTATTTCACTGTTTATTGCTTAGTTGTCACTGGTTAAATAAGTCATTTGGCTCGTTTCTATATTTTGACTGGTTGATTGCTCCAGCATTCCCAGCATGCATACAAATCCATGAAAAATGTGAATGACCATTTACAGAAAACATAGTGCTTTTTTTCCTGATAGATTCAGTTGTAGGTACCTAAATTGAATCTGATTTAAAATGAAAGGCTGTTACAAATTAAAGAGTCCCACTAGGTAGGAAAGGTCATATCCCTCAAGTATCAGTAGACATGAACATTTTCACATCCTTAACTCCACCAGGTAAGCTCAAGAAATTATAGTAACTGACAAGGATATCATGCAGTAACTTCTAATTGCTGAAGTACTGAAGTAAGCAAATATCAAGCTATGTCAAAACTAAATTTTAGACAAGTGCTGTGAAAGTTTGAAGAAATTAACTTCATGACTTAGCTTGTTTTAACAATAATGATATTGAATAATAAATAATTATGAACAATAGTCTCCTTAGCATCTTATAAGCCCCCCAAAGCTATGTTTATATCCTATATACTGTATATACAATATACCCATATTTAATTGGACATCATGCCAAAAAAGCTCCACAGTGACTTTGTACTAAAGTGGTAGTCTAGAAGTGAACTACATTAATACCTACTTTGAAGCTTCTTTACATTGCCAGAGTGCAAATGAGGAATGGACCTTAAGGCCTGGTCTAGACTACAGCAGAAGGTTGAATTAAGATACACCACTCCAGCTACAATAGCCCAGATACTGTGAATACTTACAACAATAGGATAGGATAGACTAAAAGATCAACCTGTCTTAGTGGGTAGCCCCTAAGGATACAACATTGATTGGGTCACACATAGGAATACTTCTTTAAAGGAAAATAGATGACATGTTCTAGAATGCAGTTAAGAATGAAGATACTAGAGAGGAATGTTGTATTCAAATTACATTGGGATATCAGAGTCCTTGCTAGTTCCTTGCATCTGAGTTATATCAAACCTAAGATCAGTTTAATATTGATATGACATATATTGGAGGACTGTATCTTATTCTGGGACTGGAATGCTGTCAGATCTAAAAGTATTTATCCATTTCAAATTAATATGATCCCATTAAAATATTTGTTATAAGAAAAGCCAAGGACAGATTATGAGTGGTTTTGTATAGTGTGTAAGGTGGTTGGTGGAGAGATTGAATGAATCATCCACAGATAATGATCATACAATCATAAGGATTGTACTTAACTCTAATGGGTGTTGCACTATCCCACAGTGGCATTAGTTTATCAAAGAGATAAAATCCTTGCCTACTCCTTCACTTTCTGCTAATGCGAGCTGATCTGGTTAAATGCAGCTGGCAATTCAATAAAACCTTTAAGGGTATGTCTACACTATGGGACAAGGTTGAATTGTGTTAATTCATTAATTGTGTAGTTGAAGTTGCACAACTTAACTTGAATTTTGGCACTGTTCACACTGCAGGAAGTCGAAGGGAGGACACTCTTCCTTCAACTTCCCTTATTCTGTGTGGAACCATCATCAATCGGAGTGACCCTCTCAGTTTGAATTAGTATGTCTTCACTAAACCCACTAATTTGGACCCTGGAAGATTGACGGTGGCAGCTTCAATCTTCTCTGTAGTGTAGACATTCCCTCACAGTCCCGTGGAGTTATAGGAGACACTGATATGTGCCATATCTTTAGAATTTCCCACTGGAATGTGCACGAGGAGCTGCACAGCTTGATCTTGGAATTGATGTTTTATATTACCTCAGAGTTACTGAAAACAATTCTCGTACATAAATATCTCTTTTTCACCTGACTCAGATATTAGGGAAACTTGTCTTAACAGTCTGACAAAGAGAGATGGTGAGATCTCTGGAAAATGAAATTGCAATATTCAGTAATCATGCCTCAGCATAAGCAAACCTTTCTAGAGAAGAATATATAAACAATCTTTAAAATAACATTACTTCCAAAAGTGTGAGTGGTAATGGTATCTTTCTCAGTTTAATGTTGCCTCTTTTATTTTTTTTCCAACAGGCACATTTACCTGGTATTGCTCGGTTCCCTAAAGAGGGGCAAAGGGCTGGGTATAGGTGGAGTGCTGTAATCAGGGTTGGGGGGTGAGAAGGAGCTCTGGGCTGGGGATATTAGTAAAGGATGGGAGCAAAGCCCCCCTCCCTCCAAGATTCATGCCAGCTCTGCTTGCTTTCACTCCCTGACAGGGAGAGGAAGGAGAAGAGCAAAGTGCACAGATTGTCTCTCCCTGTGCTCCACAGCCAAAATGAGAAATTTAGTAAACTGTGCATTTCCCCCTCCCTGATAAAGGGGAACAGACAGCAATTTCCCCCTATGAATTTGGTGGGGGGGGGGGAGCTTCAGCCCTCCCCCTCACAGGATGCCTGTAGGGTGAGAGGATTGGGCTGGAGAAGTCCTGGACTGAGGGATAGGGGGATGGAGGGTGTTTCACCCGCCTGGTGATTATGTGTGTCTTTCTGTATGGTTTTACGAAAAGCAATCCCATTCTAGGCACATCCCGTTTTCCTGGCACAACCAATACCTTACCTTGCTTTAAGTTATAAGAAGAAACTGTATACTGAATTTGGTGATTCTAGCTCTTACTTTTTATGAGTTCTTGAACAGACAAACAGACAAACTCTCTCAAATATATAATAGATGAGGATCACTAGTTTTATTAAGAGCAGTATACAGAGAGTGCTTCACTCATAACATTGATTTAGCTAGGTAACAGGACTTCACCTTTAAGTAATGCACATGCCTTTCTGTACCTTACTGAGTCAGACCTTAAACTATTTCAGAGATGCACTTTTATTTGGCTATTTTGTAATTAAAAAAAATTACCGCTGTTAACCAAAAGATTTAAAGGATATTCAGTCAGCTACAGTTATGTCTTCAATAGGTAATTATCCTTGCCTTTTTGCTATATTTCAAACACCATTAAACTTCTGAATGTTTTGTGCAGCTTTGTAACTAGATATGGATATTAGAATGTCATTTATATCAGGCTACTGTTGTGAACTTTTTTCAAAGTCAAAGTCAATTCATCTTGAGAGAGATCTTTATTTTGCCTGAATCAGTTTCCCATTTCTAGTCACAACTGACTGCATATTGAATAAGCGTGTAAACCAAATTATCCTCTGTCCCTGAGAAAGATTTGTTTTGATCTTAAGCTTACAAAACAATAGCAAAATGGTGTGAGGGGACACATTGCTGTTTATTTTGTGCAGAGGACTTTAGATTTCTGTGCTCTCACTACAGTGTTTTTCATATGGTGCTCAATTCATTTTAAAGTAAGGAAAAGAAAACATGATTCAGCTCCTTGATTAAAGCTTTTAGCACTACCGCCCACATCTAAATTTTCAAAGAGAGAAAGAATCGAAATGTTCTGAACAGTAGGAATGTAAATGTTGGGGGGGGGGGGGGGGGAGGGGAAGGATTTAAATTTTGATGACCCTTTATCCATTTACAAGAGTACAGATAAACAAAAGGAGAAATCCAAGAGTCTCCAAAACATGCACTCACACACTTCAATCTATTCAAATTGTATGTAGCCATGTCCTGTTTTGAAGTGGAAAGCTACACAAAGGAGGTTGCAAAATGGAAGTTTTTCAATTGAGTGAGTCTATTAGAATGTTATTTGACAGGAAAGAGAAGTGAGGCAAACTGCATAAGTAATGATTTACAGTCATAATGGTAATATTTTTTTCAGATGCAAAAACTGAAGGAAAAAAGGTTATTTTTATATTAAACTAGTTGGAGTTACCCGGCGTTTCAAAATGTAGAAAAACAGTAGTCCATTATCTTTTTTGGAAAGGTAGAAAAGTTACACTGATTTCTATGAGGACTAAAATATAGGTTCACATCATCCCCGGGGGGGGAGGGGGAGGGCGTTGGGAAGGTGCAACCTGGGTGGAGGGGAGGTTACATGCAGGAGGGGTGCCCCAGCTCACGCCCGGGGCTGCAGGGGGCACGGGGGGGCAGGGCAGGTGCCCGAGCTGTTGTACATGTGAGGGTCGGGGCACTGTGTGCCAGTGGGGATGGCGCAGGAGCGGAAGAGGGTCACTTATGTAACCTCGTGGGGGTCAAGTCCTGGATAGCGCTGGGGGCCGCAGGCGGCACAGAACCTAGGGTGGGTGGGGTGGCCCCTGCAGCGCAGCGCAGCGCGGCAGGTTACTTTTTTATTTTTACAGCTTGAGCTTGGGCCTGATTGGGTCCAAAAATACCTTAAAACCTTG